GCAGCCCAATCCAAAACCACTACGCTACCAGAGTTCCTTCAGATAGATATAGATATATAGATATAGATAGCTATAGATATATGGTGGTGGTATGTGCCGTGGAGTTGGTTCTGACTCATAGTGACTCTGTACAGGGTTTCTGAGGCTGTAAATCTTTACCAGAGCAGAAAGCCTCATCTTTCTCAAGGGGAGCAAATGGTTGTTGCGAACTGCTGACCTTAAGGTTTGCAGCCCAATTGGTAACTGCTATACTACCAGAGCTCCTTATATAGCTATTGATACATAACTTTTTTCTTCTTTTTAAAAATGTATATTATAATCATTTTTCATTGCTACGAATATTATCAACCACATTTTAATGGGATTAAGATAAATTATTTCACTAATTCTCTGTTGTGGAACATTGAATTTTGTTCCTAATCTTCATAGTTAATTACAAATAACATTAAATTGGTACCTTCATACGTAATTTTTTATCTGCAGTTCCTATTATCTCTTTAGAACAGATCCATAAAATCAAATTACTAAGTAGAGGACTATGAACAGTCTCTTAAAATTCTTACGATAGATGTCCAAATTACCTTTAGGCAGATACTTTTTCAGTTTAATATGCAAAATAGTATCTCATTGGATTAATTTATATTCCATTGATAACAAATGAATAAGAAAAGTAGCTATATACCAGGTATCTATTTATATTCTTTATTCTTTGATCTGATTTTATTGCAAAATACTCATGAATGAATGCATTTTTTGTGTATGTGCCCATTTCTGTTTTATTTATTTATTTACTTTGTGACACTTTTAATTATGAATTAAGTGAAGGTTTACAGAGCAGAGTGTCAGTTTTACATGAAACAAACCACACACTTTGTTTCATCTCAATGATTGCAATCCTCTCCATGTAATATACTTACCTTACTTTCTCCTTGTGGTTCCTATTTCCATTCCACCCTCCTTCCTAAAACCTCTGAACGTTGTCCTCAGGTAAATGTTGCCCATTGAATAGCTGATCATTCCATGGTGAGTATACCTCAATAGTGTTGTTGTCCACCTATATCCCTAATCACCTTTTGGTTGAAAATTGTGCCATGAGGATGAGTTCCATTCCAGACCTGAAGGGTGGTCAAGGGCCATAGTCATGGGTTCTTCCCATCTCTTTCTGACAAGTAAGACCAGTCTTTTTAATAATTTTGAGTTTAGTTCCACATTTTCTTTCACTCTATCTGGGGCTTTCTAATGTGATCCTTTTCAGCCTCTGCCTTGATTTTCCTATGATTTTGTTAAGTATATTAATTAGTGTCCTCTTTACACATTGGAACAATCACTTACCTTTAATTGGTGTCATGAATGTCTTTGTAAAATATTACTTTATTATAGTCTTTAACAATTCCATAACATTTGAATGTATTACTTATTATAAATACACACTTTATTCTTAATTATGACAGAGTATACTTTGATCATCTAAAAGCGATTTTCTCATTTCAGGAAGAAAGCTACAAGGACAATGATTTTTCCTGGGCCTGGATTATAGTCTACATATACATAACAATTCTTACAGAAATCTGCTTATATGCAGCCACTTCTGATTTGCGAAAAACTGCTTTCATTGGTTTCTGTAATTGTAAAAGTTCAGAAAAAAACATTTACACCAAATCAGAAGAAAAACCCATATTAAGGGAAGCGAGTTTTTTAGGTCTTCTGAAATATTTCTCTTCAGAAATATCAGAAAATTGTAAGTAAGGTTTTAAAAATCAATTTGATACATAGTTTAAAATAAATCTCTATTTGCATATATAAATAAGATTTTTATTTTAAAAGTTAAATTTTCAGAGTGGGAAATAGAACTTTATAAATTTTCAGAGTAAGAAATAGAACTTCCTAAAAATTAAAGGAATAACATTGCATCCATTATCAAAAAGAAAATTTTAAGATCTGTCTTGAAGTACAATGCTGTCTTGATAACAGGATAATATCCATACACCTATGAGGAAGACCAGTCTTTACTCAAATTTATAAACATATTACTAAAGCCAGTGATGAGCATATTGATGAATTCTATACACTTCTTCAGTCTGAAATTAATTAAACATGCAATCACTGTAAATTGGAATGAAAAGGGTGGGAACAAAGAGGAAGGAGCAATCATTAGAAAATATTGCCTTTGTCATAGAAATGATATTGGATATAGCATGATAGAACTTTGCAAAACTAATTACTTCTTCAATGTACATACCTTTTAAACCACAAAAAAGAAAACTATAGGTATTGACTCACCTGATAGAATACAAAACCTCCATATCATTAGCAAAAACAAGGCCAGGGACAGACTGTGGAACAGACTATCAATTGTTCATATATGCAAATTAGGCTGAAGCTGGATAAAATTAAAATATGTCCACCAGAGCCAAAATATGACCTTAAACATATTCCACCTGAATTTGAAGATCGTCGGAAGAAGAAATTTGATGCATTAGACACTAATGACTGAAGACCAGACAATTGTGGAACGACATCAAGAACATCATACATGAAGAAAGCAAAAGGTTATTAAGAAGACAAGAAAGAAGGAAAAGACCAAAATGGATGTCAGAAGAGATTCTCAAATTTGCTCTCCAGTGCAGAGATGCTAAAGCAGAGGGAATAAATGATGAGGTTAAAGAGCTAAATAGAATTTTTCAAAGGGACACTCTAGAAGGCAAAGGCAAATATTATAATGAAATGTGAAAACACCTGGAGTTAGAAAACCAAAGAGGAAGAACACGCTCAGTATTTCTGAAGCTGAGAGAACTGAGGAAAACGTTGAAGCCTCAACTTGAAATATTGTAGGATTTCTATGGGCAGAGTATTGAATGACACATAAAGCATCAAAAGGTGAAAAGAATACAAAATCACTGTAACAAAAAAGAAATGGTCTATGATCAACCATTTCAAGAATTAGATATGATCAACAGTCAATGATCCTGAAAGAAGAAGTCCAAGTGCATTGAAGGAATTGGCAAAGAACAAGATTCCAGGAATTGATCGAATACAAATTTATGTAAGACTGGATGCACTCATTTATGCCAAGAAATTTGGAAGATAGCTACCTGGCCAATTGATTGGAAGAGATCCATATCTGTGCCCATTCCAACGAGAGGTGACCTACTGGAATGCAGAAATCATTGGACAGTATCATTAATACCACATGCAAGTTAACTTTTGATAAAAATAATTTTAAAACATCTGCAATAATAGGTTGACAGAGAACTGTCAGAAGTTCAAGCCAGATTCAGATGAAGACGCAGAACAAGGGATACCATTGCTGATGTCAGATGGCTATAGACTGAAAGCAGAGAATACAAGAATTATGTTTACATGTGCTTTATTGACTACACAAAGGGTTTTGATTGTGTTGATCATGCCAAGCTATAGACAACATTGCTGAGAATGAGTATTCTGGAACAATTAATTGTGCTCATGAGGAACTTGTACATAGACCAAGGGGCAGTCATTAAAACAGAACAAAGGGACACGGAATGGTTTAAAATTAGGAAAGGTGTGTGCTGGGGTTGTATTCTTTCACCATACTTATTCAGTCTGTATGCTGAGCAAATAATTCAAGAATATGGATTTTATGAAGAATAACATGGCATCAGGATTGGAGGAAGACTCAGTAACAACTTGCGATATGCAGATGATACAACTTTGCTTGCTGAAAGTGAAGAGGACTTAAAATACCTACTGATGAAGATCAAAGGCTACAACCTTCGATATGGGTTACACCTCAATGTAAGAAAATAAAAATCCTCAGCACTGGAACAATAAATAGCATCAATATAAATGGAGAAGAAGATTGAATAGTCAAAGACTTCATTTTTCTCAGGTCAGCCATCAACAATCCTGTAAGTAGTTGTCAAGAAATCAAACGACATATTGCATTAGGCAAATCTGCTGCACAAGGTGTCTTTAAAGTTTTCAAGAGCAAAGATAACAGTTTAAGGGCTAAGGTGTACTTTACTCAAGCCATGGTATTTTCAACAACCTCATATGCATGTGAAAGTTGAACAATGAATAAAGAATACTATAGAAGAATTGATACATTTGAGTCATCTTGTTGGAGGAGAATATTAAAAGTACCATGGACTGTCAAAGAACAAATGAATCTATGTTGGAAAAAGCACATCCTGAATGCTCATTAGAAGCCAGAATGGCCAGACTTCATGCCTCATACTTCAGATATACTAATCAGATGGGACTAGTCTCTGGAGAAAGACATCTTTCTTGTTAAAGTGGATAATCAGTGAAAATGAGGAAGACCCCAACTAGATTGATTAGCACAGTAACAGCAGCAGTGGGCTCATACATAACAATGATTGTGAGGTTGACACAGGACTGGGCAGTGTTTTGTTCTGTTGTGCATAGTGTCACTATGAGTCAGTACCAACTCGATGGTACTTAACAACAACAATGATGACAACAAAAAATTTAAAAAATGAATATATTATAACATGATTTTTCTCTTCATAATTTTAAAATCACTGAAATATAAACTAGATTTAGTTGATTTATGTTTCAAATTATATTTCTTGAAAAGGAAATATGACTATATAAAACATGTGAGAATAAAATTTGATTTTGCTTAATTAATAATCATTTCCCTAAAAGGGCTTCTCTCTTCTGTCCTCCTTTTACTCAAGTCATCTACTGTTTCTTTCTTATTTAGAAGATTTCTCTAAAATCCCTTACTCATATACTGTTTTGCAGTCTTTAGGTTTGTCATCTCAGAGAACATATAGTTTCAAGATTAGTATTACCTGAAGACTTTGTCAATATTAATTACCAGTACAGATGGGTTTATATTATTGGGAAGTGATGTAAAGAAACTGGAGTGACTGCTTTGCATAATTGAATTTTTTTCTCTTAATGTTACTCTGGAGTTACATAGATCAGTATTTCCATCCTATCACTAGTAACTTGGAATCTCAGCTCAGTTTTTAATCTTCAAAGACTTACTTTCTTTACCTAATAATTATGATAAAAATATTATTCATATTATAGAGATTGTTGTTGCTGTTGTTAAGTGCCATCAAATTGATTCTGACTCATAGCGACCTTGTATAGGGTTTCCAAGGAGCAACTGGTGAGTTTGAACCATCAATCTTGTGGTTCAAACTGACCTTGAAGTCAAGTGCTTATCCTAAGGACTCCATTACAGAGCTATATTTATGGAAATATGTATACACTTATCATAGTACCTGGTGCTTACTATATAGTTCCAATAAATGTTAATAGATGTTATGATTGTTAATGTAGTTTTAAATGACATTATTAGAATAAGAAATATCAGTTAGTTAGGAAGATCTTACTTTTATAATAATTATTCCCATGTACAGCATATATCTAGGAAACCCTAGTTTATTTATACATAAAAATATAAATAGTACCAAAAGACATTTTAAAAAATGGTATCATTGAAAGAGTCAAAAAGTGTCCTTATTGAACCATTTTATATAATCTTTTAATATGAAGAAATAATTTGAGTCATAATTTATAAATGATTGTTATGTTAAATTAAGGATTTCTATGAAGATAATTTCTTGGTGATCTTATAGGAGCAGAATTTGAAGAATCTAGAATGACTGGCTACTTGTTTCTTTTTTTACCCTGACATTTTGTGATAGCGTAGTGGTTACGAATCGGGCTGCGAACCTTAAGGTCAGCGGTTCGAAACTACCAGCTGCTCCGCGGGAGAAAGATGAGGCTTTCTACTCCCGTAAAGATTTACACCCTCGGAAACCCTGTACAGGGTCGCTATGGGTCGGAACCGACTCGACGGCACTTAACAACAACAACAAACTTTTCTTAGAGTCAAAAGTCTATTAATTCAAGAGTTATGTCACTGACCAGTTAGTTTTTTGAAATGTTTGTTTTTGGTAGGTATGATTTAATATCAAGTTCTATGTATGCTTGTTGTTATTAAGTGCCATCAAGTTGGTTCTGACTCATACTGACCCTGTATGGGGTTTCCAAGAAGTGGGTATTGAGTTTGAACTGCCGACCTTGTGGTTCAAACAGAGCTTGTGGCCCAGTGCTTTATCCCACAGCACTTATAAATACAAAATATACATTTAGCATGTGGTTCCAATTTAAAGAGTCTGACTTGCAACATTCTTTTTACAAATGACCATCCTGCACACTTTCCAGTGGAGTTGAGCTGTAAATATTTTAATATTTATGTGTCTGAAACAAACATTTGTACATAGAAGAGATTATGTATTTTTTTCCTTAAACACAGAAATTTTGCCCTGTTGTTGTTTGCTGTCAAGTCAGTTACAACTCATAGTGATCTTGAATAGGGTTTCCAAGGGTAGCTGGTAGACTTCAGTTGCTGACCTTGCAGTTAGCTGTCTTGTGATTATCCTATAGTGTCAGTGGATTTTGATTCACGGAGACCCGGTGTATTGTGGATTAGAAATCCATTTCTAGGCTGTAATCTCATAGAAACAGATAGCCAGGCCATTTCTTTGATGGTATGCTGAGTGAGTTCAAACTGCTAACCTTCAGGTTAGCAGTCCACTGCAAACCAATTTCTGTTGAAATTCTGGTTTTTAGAAAAACTTTGCTTTGTTGGCTTATAAAACCCAAACAGACCAAACCACAGCCTTCAAGTGTTTCAACTCATAGCAAACTTACAGGAAAGAGTAGAACTGCTTCATAGGGTTTCCAAGGCTATAAATCTTTATGGAAGCAAAC